AGGCTTTTCATCTACATTCAAAAAACGTCTTCATAGTAGTCTGAAATTAATGGGTATTAACGTGAGTTTGTGACCTCAACATCTGATGCTAAGCACGGAATAAAATAGACTTTGGATGACACTAGACGATTTGGACTTCTCAGATGACCTAGCTCTCCTATCCCATACACAACAACAAATGCAGGTCAAGATAACCAGTGTAGAGGAAGCCTCTGCATCAATAGGCCCCAACATACACAAGGGGAAGAGCAAGATCTTGACAGTGTTCACCCATGGCTACACTATGAATCGTTGGGTTCTATCTCAGATTGATTGAAGCTGGGATTGAACTACTGGACGTTGACCCAGTGGTTCTAATGGTTAATGATTTGTTACAGGACATATAGGTCCTGATTTTGATATCCGAAGGATTCAAGTGTACGCGTTGTTGAGAAGTTCATACTACGACGAAACAGCTCTTCATTGCTTTGTGATTGAAACCGCAGCTGAGATCAATCTGTGAAGAATCTCACCTAAAAACTCGGTCAGTCTTCATGAAATTTCTCATAAAGAATAATAGCGTCTAGTAGTGTTATCTATAGACACCTCCTGAGGAATCAGGTGCTTCGGAAATTAGGAGTATACATAATGCACCAGTGTATGCAGAAGTGCATGGAACTAATAGGGGCCTGAAGGATTCGTACTCCAATTCCGCTGGCTTCCATTTCCATGAACTATCACGATAAGCCAATGCATTGCATTGACATTTGTGGTGCACGTTTTCACAAATCGAATTCAAATATCCATCTGTCTCCTTGGAAAATGTAGATATTGAACAACTACATTTTGATAGAACACTGGGAGAAACAGCTTTATTAAACTATTACACCTACCTCTTTCTTTAAGAAGGACTGGGATGTTTTCTGGCAGCTTTGCGACCAGTCCTACAGGACACAAGCTTGATGTACGGTTTCCACTCCCTATGGAACTGGGAATCAAGAATGGTAAAATGTTCCCCGCTTGAATTCTCTTACTGTACTCTTGAGCTCTTTCAGCGAAGGGAACGTTACTGGGAACGATCTGAACCTGAATTGGTAATAGTGTGATTATCCGAGCTCAATTTTATCAAAATATTCGTCATCGCATAAATCATTAGTTTTTCCACCAATATTAAATCGATAATAACCAGTAAAAACCTTCTTAAAACTATCAATATTATTGTGCGACAGGTTTAAGGAAAGTGAGGGTGGTGTGAAAAATATTTTCTTTAGTGGTTGGTTGGGTGAGAATACCAAATTTAAAGCACAGACGGTTGAATGTTATTCTTGATGAACAAACATCGGGTAAAAAATTTCAAAGCCTTTTTAAGTGACTAATCAACAGTGAAGTAATAGTTTTCTCAAATTTTCTTAAGATATGGACTTCAAATACCGGAAGTATTGCTTTTTATGCTCAAGACAAAATAACTCACATTTTCTTATTCTTATTCCTTATATAAACACAACTAATTTTTAAAATTTCTATTTGATTACATTAGTACATCGTTTTTCTGCTTTCTTCTAATTCATAATGTTTTGTACATTTGACTGAATGATTTAATAATCTTTTAAATTTTACATTATCGTTGACTCTTGTTTAATTATGTGATTACGTAACAGAATACAAACAATTTCTGATATGTCATGTCGTTATCTTCAGATAAACTGATCATTGTTTGTCACGAATGATTTAGGAAATTTGTATTCCACTTCCATACGACTAGTGGTGACACTGTGCTCCCTAAACAACATGATTTAATTACAATCTTTTTGTGGTGTGTGCTAGTTATATCGACATAAGTAGTATATAACGTTAGTCGTAAACAGAATGTCTAGCATAAGAGAGACAAGAGGACCTAACACTAAAGAATGGAAACAGAATACAATTTGTGTGAAGATGCAAGAACAATGAAGTCTGAGTCATTTTAAGACAACTGATGGACATTTTGTAAATTAAGCATTTACTATATGATTCTTAGATTTTACTAACAAGTCCTGTAATTTTGTGTCTAATACATTTGATTGTCCCCACTGGTATTCTGTCCACTAAATTTTCACTGTCGTTCTTGGCATTATTATCACTATTCTCTTGTTATCACATTGATGAAATAAGCGTTATCCTCCCTTTAAAATTCATCAATTTCTGTTATTCAGCAAGAACGGAGATTAGTTGCATATACAAATAATTTACCAGTGTATTTTCTTCGTAGACAATATCGAAACGTCTAAATACCTGGAAAAAATTTGCGAAAGTTTGATAGTAAACTGCGACCAATGTCTAATAGAAAACTAATGGCTTCGCAAAGGGAAACTACAAAACATTCGTCTGAACATAAATAACGGAATATATCGCTGTATAAAATATCGGACTAAATAAAAAAGAAAAGAGTGATTTTAAGTGTTCGATAATAATACTCATCACTATTTGATCAAAATACTTTATATTAAGCCTTTGACAAGGTAGATATATCATCATATTTATAGACATCATTTCTAATGATTTACCAAAGGAAAACAGGAAAAATATAAGAAGCACTATTCTGGCATATTCAATTAATAGTGATCACTATAATTATATAAAAAGAATTCTGTCAGAACAACTCAATGTCTCAGAAATTCGTCTTATGTGCACAGCACAAGTCATAGGAAATCGCATAAATATACCAAATCTTTGTGTATAATAAAACGTTTGCCTTGTTTTTCAGTTTACTTTGATATCCCATTAAGATACCCTCACATTTTGTGATGCGTTTTTGATTTTCTCTACTTCATTAGTATAGGGGAGCTTGTGGCGATTGTAGAATGTGCTTAGTTTAAATCAAGAACTGAGCATGATTAGAAAACCATTGAAAACCTGGAAGCGCTGGACAGCGTTTTACGTGTACGTTTTTTTAGTATGTTTTAGTACGTTTTCACAGAGCTGCAAATAGATTGACTTCTTTTTGATGCACTCATCCCAAGGTCACTCTTAACATCTTTTCAAACCATCTTCACAGTGCCGTTTTACCGTTAGTTATAATAACACTGGTTCAATTAATGTGTAGTTCACACCTTTTTGAACGTATAAAGATAAAAGCAAAAATTTTATTTTTATTATTTAAGACTGAAAGGGTTATGTGTTGGGTTATCTATTATTAAGTCTGATTCATTGGAAAGTCGCTGACATCCAGTGAACATCAGTATCTGTAAAAACAGTTCGATATTAGTAAGCCGTAATAAATATTATGGAGAATGAAACGTAAACTAATAGAATATAATGTCAGTAATATGACAGTTAGTGATATTGTTACAAATAGACAAACTGAAAAATATTTCAACTTATTTGCAAACTTATTTTATTCTATTCTCTACCAAAGATATCTTCAAAATAATGAAGTGAATGTTAACTTAAAAGAAGTTTATCTGTAAAAGGTTTATAATCAGAATTACTGAATGTAGTACGAAAAAATTAAATACGTTACAATTGCCATGAAACAAGCAACTGGCTACATCTGATCTTATTTGTCAATTTGACCAGGAAAGCAATCCCATGTTCGCTTGTCTCTGTGTGTTTGCAAGTTTTGAAGATTAAACCCTTGGTTCCTTTTTGAAGTGTTCCCTGTCTTACGTTTTGCTATAATTGAATAACTTCTAGATAGTAGTTTAGGAAATGTGGGAAGCATAAAATCATTGAGTTATCACTTGACGAAAGTTAGAGATGCAGATTATTGGATATTGACTTAATGAACTCAGGGTAATGTGCCAGCCACAAGACTTAGAACTCCTGGATTCTGTATTGATGATGTAGTGGGTACTTACTATTTGACAGTTTCGGACCTGTAATGATTCAGTTATTCATTGTATTTCAGTTTTATATGATTACTTAGTTTAAGTTCGTCCATGATGTTAACTCAGCTGAAAATGTTTCTTACCAATTTATAAAAATTAACCTATATATTTAAAAGTGACATTAGGTTATATTATTGATTTGTTTGTGATTGAGAAATTCCAAAAATAAATTTCGAAGAAAAACTTTGTACCACATTATACATAGACTGAAATTTTCCGACTGAATACAGGAAACTGTAAAGCTACTTTCGTAAGATTGCTACAAAACTGAAAGAGAAACGAAAATTAATACAAATTATTTAATATTTTTCCCACCAAAAATATGTGCTTACACATATTTATAAGAGCATGAACACATACGCACAGAAACTATATGCATAACGACACTTAATATCATGCACTTTGTGTGTATACTCAGATGAATGAAATCAAAGTATATCACACTAATGATTGGACAATGAATTTACTTATTATTTTTTAATATTTTTTTCTAATAATTAGTTTTATTATTATTGAGTTAAACGCCTACAATCAAAAACCTATAAGCATACTGATATCAATAATTACATATATTTATGGAATGTACTACCATCCAACAAGAAATTTTAAATTTGTGTACCAATTCAGTTTTATCAATTGTATGTGAATGCGCAGGTTCTGTGTGTCAATCGTACTGAACGTTGAACATGATATATATATATATATACGCAACAATCATACATATATATTTGCACTCAATTATTTAAATAAATCAACACACTAGTTCACGTACCGATACATACCATTTCATACATACACATACCCACTTTGTAAGCATACGTAATTTGATATAATAAACAGTAGAAACACAAGAAACGATGATATTCACTCCGGCCAAAATGATCAGCGACTATTGTCTGTTATTTTATTTTGTGATTTGAATATATTCCAATTATTGCATCCTATGATTCACATAAAATAATGTTCTATAATTATTTATTCAATATTTAACTATCAGGAATATTAGAAAAATCTTTCTGAAAACTGTGTGGAAATTATATTATTAATCATTTGGTGAACTGAAATTTTAATCACTTAGAAAATTCATAGACAAGAACTGTTGAAAACATAGAGGATTTTGACGACCATAAATAACGCCATTATTATTATTATTATTATTATTATTATTATTATTATTAACAACGGTGACAAAGTACGAAACGAAATCAGAACAAAAACAGTAATCAGCTCTACGCAATAGAACGGGGTGATGCACGAACTATTATTTTTCTTTGAAATCTATTTTCTTATACATTATGCATGGGAATTTGGATAAAATTACATTGAATCTTTTAACTTCTATGAAAACAATGTAATATTGTAGTTTATGTGTGAACTTTGAATTATTTATTTCAAAGAGTGAAAGGCAAAAAGTGGAAAATAAATATTAAAAAAAATTGAAAACTCAACGCTTGATTTATCAAATCAGTAATTATTTCATTAATCAATTTATTGAATAATAAGTAACAAACAAAACAAAATAAGTAAGATCACTTTGAACAAATTCATGTTCAATTCCCAGTGGACGTTGTCAAGTTTATCACCATTATTGTCAGCTGTTTTAAATTTGTCGGAAATACTACATCAACAACAACAACTACTACTGATAATAATAATACTGGTAGTGCTACGACTTTTATTAATATCATTGAATTTATTTCATTATTATTTTAGTCATTCATCTCATTTTTATCTCACTGGTATCTTTGAGTGGTTTAACAACTATCTACCCTCATCACATTCACTCACTTCCCCTTTTTCTTATTTCGTGGAGTTAATATCACTGCCATCCTCAGCACTGACATCCTCGTTGTTACTATCACTGTCATGGATATTCTGCATATTGTTTGGTGCTCTAAGTATATGGTTCTGGAAATCAGTATGTCACCTCAGTACACGATTATATCATCAGAAGGATATACTACTATTTTTCAGAAACAGTATTAATGATATTCGTAATTATAGAATTTACAGTAAAATAAATGTCATACTACTTACATTGCACACTGATTCAATCATTTTCATATATAATCTTATCAGTGGATGGAATTCAAGCGATACGTTGAAGAGTAAAATTAAAACATCAAAAAGACTTACGCAACGTAAACGTTTAAGTCATGGAATGAGTACATTATTCACTATATACTTTGGATTATTAATTTATTTAGAACTATGTGGAATTGATTATGCTGAAAGTAGACCGATTTCAACCGAAAACGAACGCAGATATGGTAATTTAGATTTACATCCGACTAAATCATCACAACAAAAGACACCAAAAGTGGTTATGCCACCATATGACCTTGGGTTTAAAGGTCAAAAAACAGACGAACTGAACAAAGTAAAATTATATCCACTGTTATCATCATCATTATCGTATCCTACATTTTTGAGTGATTTTAATGACAACTTCGATCAAATGAAAGGTTTTCAGTCAGATGAAACATATGTAAGAGATTCTCAAACACAGCAGCAGCAAAGAAAACAACGCTATCAGAGAGTAAGTCGTGATAATTTTAACTCACAAGAAGAGACCGACAATGATGATGAGGACAATGCTGTCGAATTTTTCGATACACGTTTGATGTATGATTCGAAGTTGTCTCAATCTAATCATCTTAATAAGAATAGTGTAAGATCATACGGACAATCTCCATCGGTATCATCATCAATACCGTCATTAACAGAAAGAGAGACAAATGAACGACTTGACTATAGAAGAGTAAACCTTGCACCTTCTAAATCAACAATACAAAAACAGATATCATACTCCCCATATAATCCATATACAAGAATGAATAATTATCAAGAATCGCTTTATATACCTGACCAACAAACTATGTATGAAATGAATACTCAACAAGAAGAGAAGACATGGACCAGAAAGGATAATAATAATAATAAGCCATATCAACGTCATGAACTATATGATGGTTATACAGCTCATATGAATCGTGAAAATCCGTCTAGTTGGTTTCCTTTTCCTAATTATCAAACCAATAATAATAATCCATTGAACAATAGACCATTATATTCACAACAGTCAAAAATACAACACCAACACCAACCATCTTCAAGTTTAAATAGTTACTCATATTATAACACTCCAAACAAAAATATTGATAGTAATAATAACGTTAATAAACGTAATCCATTTTCATATTTTCCTGAGATTTCGGATATTCAATTATCTCATCTAATTTATCAGTACCAAATGGAATTATTACGTCGACAATCTGGACGTTTACCCGATATTGATTATCAAATGGAGCATAATTACTATGGTCAACCGGCTGAATCGTTTTCACACCATTTACCTAGTAAGTTCATTACGTTTTAAAACATAAGTCTTTTAGACGTTTATGGTTTGTATGTAAAATAAACCGTAATTGATTGCGGGGGTCAACGGGAGATATAATGAATTTCAGCGAACACTTTTTATCTTGTAGGTTATATCTTGAGGTTATCATAGTTATACAACCAATAAAAACCAAAAAGCATTTAATAGCTGTTTCGTTCTTCTGTGGGACTCGGGGAGTCGAATCCAGGACTGCTAGATCTGAAGGATGCTTAACTCTTGGGCCACTAAGCCAATACCCAAATGTTTGCATTCATAACTTTTATTAATTTGCAGTATTGTACAACCATCATGTAGTCCTGTTGGTTGGTAACTATCTCACACCCAATATTGTTGAACTTCACGGATTAAAAACGCCGACCAGTGCTCCTGGAAATAACTTTTGGAATTAGTCATTACCTAGTGTATGATTATGATCACTCCAATAAATTTAGAGTCTAATCTGCTGCGTGAAATATGAAGGTCCTGGGGTTCATCCATGGTATGGTCATGGATGAAGACTTTAGAAGATTTCAATACTGTAACCTTTCAGCTGTGTCGTGTCTCCTGGCTTCCATCAGTTATCTAAATAAGGTCCCTTTGTGATGTCGCCTATAAAATTCACTCATCCCTATGAAACCCCCGTCCTAATATTTCTTATCTCTGCTCACGATTCCTCCTTATTAAATTTCACATTTACAACCAAGCAATTTCTGTATAATCTCAAACTAAGAAGCTAACCTTTAATTAAATTACCCTTTACAAAACACGGAACTAAAAAATGATAATTGCATTAAAGTATATGTACAGTGTATTTGAGCACAAACTTGGTGATAAGCTATAAAAAGCAGTTCAGGTATATCTTTATGTAGGTACCTGTATGAGTGTTGTTAATGTTGAAACAGATTCTGCCAATCTAGATATAGCGATCGCATGTACTGTAGCTTGCTTGTGACCTTAAGAGGTGTTGTTCATAGAATTGGTGATATCACGTGGATTGTACTTAGTGCTGACCATGTGTGTCTAGGTACTGAACTAATGATGAGTCAGCAGATGTTGTCATCTTAAAACTTCAGCTTGGTAAATTACACATCAAGAGTATCGTTACAGTTAACTTTTGTACAGTCAATCAAATAAGGACGCGAAGGCGGTAGAGAATGTCAAAATGGTCTCATGTTTATGGCATAGCATGGTGAAAATGTAGGTGGTTATGTTAAGTTCGTATCAGTAAGTCCATTACAAGGTACTGAGGTTATGTTGATTGGTATAATAAGAAGTTATTTATCCCTAATGGGGTTATGGGTATACATTACTAGAGGGACTCACACTAAGACGAAACAACTTCCCAGTGTTCGTTGATCTTCAATGGTATCCCAACTGAGAAATAGTAGTGCTGGTAACTTTATATCTCAAAGATTATAATTTCCGATACTTTTCCCTCTTTATCTCTTAATGATTTTCTCCAATGTATTTCTTTCCAATGTTATCTCTTCGCTTCATAAGCAACATATCTTGGTGATGTATTTTACTGAGCATTTGCGTTGTAACATGAAAAAATTATACAAAACCATGTCAAACTGATGATTTATTAAAGTCAGTAAATGATCCAGTTCATGATAAGTTATAGTTGATAAAAACCTTGTAATGAAAATAACCCATAGTGTCATTGAATAAGAAAAAGAGAATTCAGCGAAGAAAATTTTCTTATCGACGAGATCATTTATATATATATATATATATATATATATATATATATATATATATATATATATATATATATATATATATATAATTATTACAAATACAATAGAAAGTTAAGACTTTACTTAAGTTCACCAAATTGATGCGTGTTCGGCTTTGGTCTGGTACTAAGAAACCACAATTATAATGCTTGGTAATTCCGATCTGGTTGACGAACTCTCCAGTGATATAATCCAACATAGGATGTGATTTATTCCAATTACAGTCTATAAACGTAGATAGTATTTGATTTAAACTTCAGTTAACTCAATCACAAACGAAGACAGAACGAGGAATGTGTGAGTAAAAGTGTATTTGTTAGCCAGCAAGAGTATGTCACGCTATGTCAGTATCACAACGGAAAGTGTGTTCAAGGTCATTTACTAAAACAACAAGTACAATCATTTAATGATAAAATATACAAACAGTGAAAGATTGACAAAATAAATACAAATAATATTAAAAACTATTTACAAAATAAGCTTGTCAGGCCTATCTCCACAGGTCCATATCTTCTTCACAAATCATCCATATATCTCTTCTATAAATGAAATCTCTCAATTATTCGACGAAGTACAGAATTTTCCAGATTGGCCATGAAGCAATCAGCCAAGAGCGGATCCAATGGAGAACCCCTTGCAACTCCATCCATTTGTCTATAGAAAACATCATTAAATCTAAATTGCACATATCAAGATTATTGTTTTCAATACAGTCACATAAAAGACAAATGGTTTCAGTGAGAGGAACATTTGTAAAAAGAGAAGTGACATCTAATGAAAACATTTTCTTACCAATTACGTTGATATTTATAACTGAGTCGACGAATTCAAAGGAGTCAAGAGAATCGTATTTATTGACATGATTTTTAACAGGTTGTAAAATGTCAACTAACCATTTAGCGACCAAGTGATAAGGAGAGTTGTTCATATCAGGTATAGGACGTAGTGGGACATTATTCTTATGAACTTTTGAGAGTCCATATAGTCTCGGTATAACGGAATCCGATGGTTTGAGATGTGCATAGAGGTCACAAATGATAATAGAACCATCTTTCATTTTCTTTAAGATTTTAACTAGCATCTGTCCAGTTTTTTCAGTTGTGTCTTTTTGAACGGTCTCAATAGAGAATTTGACAGGATCAGATAATATCAAAGATATTTTGGTAACATAGTCAAGACGATCCATAAGGACAATTCCTGCCCCCTTGTCTGGGCGACATAACACTAAGTCCTGATTTCTCCGAAGATAAGATAATTGAGATTTATGTTCTTTTGTGAGTAATCGACTAATTGTAGGTGTTTTATATACATATTGATCACAAAAATCCACAAGAGTTGTTTTGAAATGCTCAAAATCTTCATTAGATACTGGAATAAAGTCGTTAGTCTGACGAGTGAGGCTTTCAAACTGGATGACGTACTACAAAATTTAGGACCAAGAGATAATGCTTGTAGCTAAATAGTTGATAATTTTATACTTGAGTAATTAAAAACATATTTCTCTGGAGACTCAGGAAAAGAAGTCTGAGTATCCGTCTGTTTCAAGATCACGTCTTCTTTACGACTTTTGCTAACATTGTCAATGTAATCTTTGAATTTGAAACGTTGATCTTCTGACAAATCAAATAATATATGTGAAAGTAAAGAAATATCCCGTTCCAATTCTGGTATTCTAGACTTAATTTCATCGACATAATTCAGCGTAAGGCGTTTCAAAGAACGATGATTTGGATGGATGTGGTTTCGGCGTAATGATTTAAAAAAATGGTCTCGGATATTCATGTTTGTCTAAACAGCTTTTCAGAAAATTGATTCTGGTATTCACTATGGCAAGCTTGACAGAAAAACTGAGTTCCATTACTGTCACCGGGTCCTTGCAGCTCTTCAGATAATTAAAATAACCCCATTTGCATTTTAAACTCTTATCAGTTATTATTATTATTATTACCTTATACAAGTTTTTTCGATTATTATTCAGTTTATTATTATGACCTTTGTGTTTGTCCCTTTTCTTCATATTTGTCAATTGGACCTATTATCTGACCCATAAATTATTTTCTTCCTTGCCCCTTGATTAGTACGTAACCTCATTTGTTATTTATCCTCGAATCCATTTTGGTGATGCAATTTTTTCTATCCTCCTACAGACATACATTTTCCACATAACTATATATATATATATATATATATATATATATATATATATATATATATATATATATATATATATATATATATATATATATATATATCCAGTACATGTGTCCCATCCTATTTAGGACTCGTCAGCTGGATAAACCGAGATCCCGGAATCGATGGTTACTCCGCGACACGAATTCAGTACTGTTCAGTTCAAACACCATCACACAATCCACTGGTTGTTCCGATTTTTCAGTTGAAGTTTAGAACTGCAATTGATAAGACTATTTTGGAATATGTGTATACTGTGTGAATTGCCTTGATATTTCCTTAAGTTACAGGCATTATGAGCAGAATTGGGATGTTGGCTAGCAGGCGATTCACATAGGATGCATAAATGCCAACAGACTGAAACATCATCGGGAAAATGCAAACAACCAATATATATTGGATTGAAATAACAATAATAATATTAATAATACTAGGAGTATTGATAGTGATACTTCTATCACTTTAAAACCTATTCGTCACGGTAAGTGACTGTCATTAGGTTTACTTAATTAATTCCATAATGAACTCCATTTTTATTTCTGATTTCCGTTCTATCTCTTAACAAAGACTTGCATTTAGAATATTTGCATTCCAGGTTTGTGCTTAGAGATTTTATATTAAACTAGTTTACTTTACCAGCTTCAAACACAACTATTCTTTACCCAATAATTTAGGAACTGAACTCAGACTGTCTGAACTATCTGAAACTCGTTTGATCAGTCTGTGTCAAATGGTTGACAAGTCATCAGTCATTCTTAACGTTACCAATTGGTAGAAGAAATCTCATGTTTCGAAAGACACTTTTTACTGCTCTGAAAAAATTTTGTGATGCTTCAAAATGTGCATATGCATTTCTATCATTATCAGAAAATGTTTGAGTTATCTCGTTGTTCATACTTTTAGCTGAGATTTGGTCGGTCATTGTTGGCATATATGTATCCTCTACGGATTAACTAGATATAAGGATTTTGCCCCATGTTTTTGTAGAATAAACGGATTGTGTCTAGCAGTAGAATCGAGGATGCGCGTTTCGTTCTCTACGATAGAATGT